GTTTGTATTTTCATAACAATTTGCCCCCTGAGGTTTATATTTCATAACAAATTACCCCCTAATTTCTTATGCAAATATAGCATTCAGGGGGGAATTCGTAATTTCTCAAACCTCAGGGGGGCATCTGTAATTTAGCCAAACCTCGAGGGGTGTATATGTAATTTGCCCTTTTTTTTTTAATGAATAATGTTGGGACTTTTTTTGTTATAAAATTCTGTTTGATTTGATTTTCAGAATCTATCTTTAGAAAAATTTCTAAGAAACTAAAAATTAAATTCGTGAAAAAAAAAATTTAAAACACATCATTTTTACATAATTTTATCTTTTGATAGGGTAGAAATAATTTTTTAAAATAATTTTTTTTGATATTTATTTTCTTTAATTAGTTTTTATTTTTTCAAAAGTGAAACATGGTAATAACTTTCCTGTCATTATTAAATCAATCCGTTAAATCAAAAAATCCAAAACTAAAAACATTTAATATATTAAACATATTGATTATACATTAAAAGCCTAATAACCATTCATTACATGATAACCATCCAGAAATACCTGTTAACAACAAATATAACCATCTATTATATGATAACCTTCAAGAAAATATCAACAAAAACAATTACCCATTACATGATCATCGTCCAAACACAAACTAAAAATTAATTTGATAAAAAAATTAAAAAAATGTAAAAGATTTATTATTTTTATATAATTTTATCTTTGGTGAGTAGAAATAATTTTTAAAAATTTAAAAATAATTCTTTGACAATTATTTTTGTCAAACTAGTTTTATATTTTATCAAATTAATGACTTTGCCTTTGAAATGAAGCAATAATGTTTTCAATTGTCCTTGTTTAAAATGAAATTCATTATTCAATGTCAAATGTATCACAATTGAAAGGACAGAGACCAAAATAATATAAGGCCCAAACTACAGGGAACGTTACTGTAATTCGTCCTTATATGTTTCATGGGAAGTGTTTGGGTGTGTAAGGTGCATTGCGATTTTATGAGGTAACTTGCATATATTTGCGGCAACTTACACAAGTGCATATGGTATGCACTTGCACATTTAAGAATTGTCTATGTTTCATACATATAACTACTAACAAAAATGTTAGAGGCCCCAAAAATTCTACAAAAGTTTTACCAAATGTCTCACATGGGTGTGTGGGTCCCACACCCATGTGAGATATTTGGTAAAACTTTTGATAGAATATTTGGGGTCTCTAGCATTACTCAACTACTAATTTGTAATAAATTTCGCATCTTAAATTTCTCTCATACTCATTTTTACTTTGATATTTCATTAGAGATTAAAAAATATATATATTAACTATATCGAAGCAGAATAATTTTGAAAATAGGTTATAAATTTTAAAATTTAATCCACAATTAATCGATTGAACGATACAAATTAATGTGAACCAATATAATTTTAATAGATTAAGTGATTATTTGCACAATCTTCCTTTATTTGGTAAAGCATAATATGCCAACCATTTTATTGGGCGAATTATACTAACAGTTATTGTACTTTGAGACTTGTGTCATTTTGATCCCTGACCTTTCAATTGTAATATACTTGAATTTTGAATCTCGTTTCAAATAAGTACAATTGAAGATATTGTTGCTCCATTTTAAGGGCAAAGTTGTCAATTTGATAAAATGTAAACTAGTTTGATAGAAATAAATGTCAATTTTTTTTTTAAAAAAAAAAATTGAAAATTATATCTACTCACCAAAGGTAAAGTTATATAAAAATGATAAATTTTTTATATTTTTATTTTTTTTACCAAATTAATTTTTAGTATGTGTTTGGATGATGATCATGTAATATAAAGGGTGGTTGTTTTAGTTGATATTTTTAGAAGAGTTACCATGTATTAGATAGTTATATTTGTTATTAACAAATATTTTTAGATGGTTATCATGTAATGGATGGTTATTAGACTCATAATGTATAATCGATATGTTTAATATATAAAATATTTTTAGTTCTGGATTTTTTAATTTAATGAATTAGTTTAATAATGATATCAAAAATTGTCGCCATATTTGATTTTTAAACAAATAAAAACTAATTTAACAAAAATAATATAAAAAAAAATTATTTCTACCCTCCCGAAAGGTAATATTATATAAAAATGATGTGTTTTTTTTTAATTTTTTTCTACTAATTTAATTTTTAGTTTCTTAGAAAAAAAAATTGAAAATAGATTTTGAAAATCAAACCAAACTAAACTTTATAACCAAAAAAGTATCAACATTATTCATTAAAAAAAGGGCCATTATATTTCAAATAACAATTAAGTTAAATTACATAAAATAAGTTGTATGATGATTTTACCTTTCAAATAGAGTAACAATATTTTTAATTATCTTTATTTAAAATATGATTTAAAATTTATGATCAAATATATTACAATTAAAAAATTAAAGACTAAAATAATACAAATTCTAAATAACAGAGACCGTTAATATAATCTACCAAATTTTCTTTGCAACTTAAACGACTTCGTTATTCAAAGAAAGCGAGAGGTCACTGCGACTACTTTCCTATCCTATTTCCTTCCCGTGTGGAGTGCAAAACGTGTGGTGCTTCTTTGCTCTTTCTCAGAAGGAATGGGGCTTAAAAAGCTGCAGCAGTAAACAAAGCAAAAGCCTGTTAAAAATAAATAAATAAATAAATAAATAAAGCAAGGCAAAAGTAAAAGTAAAAGCAAAAGCAAAAGTAAAAGCAAACGCAAAAGCAAAAGCAAAAGTAAGGACAAAAAATTTCTATCATGTCAGCAAATAATCAGCTAAACACAACTCATGAATCAAGGTTGTTGAAATCAAAATTTTAGACGAGATCGTTGTGTTTCATAAATTAAATCATACAATGAATTGAAAGTCATTAAATTTTACTTTTAATGTAAAATAAAATTAAAAAAAATTATAAATTCATGTACTAAGTTAAGTGGTCGAATTTCACATGACAAGATAAGCTTTATAAGACAAGATTAGACTGGAATCCGACCTATGCCCACCTCTACTCGATGGTGTTCGATGGTAATGTTCTAGTGATTTAGGGTTAACCCTCAAGTAATTTGATAAACGAAAAATGTTTAAGACATCTAATTTATCATTTCTAAAAATTATTTCTAGTGATGTATCTAATTTTAATGTCATATCATTAAAGATTATTTAGTGATAATAAATTAGAGAATGTAGCAGTGTTGCTTGATAAACAAGATGTCGTATTCATATCAATTAATAACCTTGACTAGAGAGGTGTGTCGGTTAGTTTGGTTAAAATTAATACTAAATTTATAATTAAATTTAATATTATTAAGTCAATTGATAATTTTTAATAATGTCATAAATATATTTTAATTAATAATTATAATAATTTTATTGTTACATAGGAGAGTTGTTATAAATTTTATTTTTTCTATTAATTCTGTAAAATAAAAAATTTTGTTAATTAGGAAATTTGTATTTTAAATCAACCTTAGAAGTGTATTCGTAATTTATCATTAAATTTAGGAAAATGTTATGGTGTGCACCCCTTTAGGGGTGCATACCATATGCACTCTATCATAAAAGGTGTAACTTTTTCACAAAATTTCGTAACATTAATTACAAAATACATAATATCGCTAAACATTTGCGTAACAAAATGTCTACAATTTTGTGATTGGTGTTCCAAAAGTTTGTAATGTGGTTACGATATTCTCAATTATGTTGTGGCGAGGTTTTACGCCTTTCGTAGTTGATATCACAAAATTTTGTGAAAATTACACCTTTTGCAATAGAAGTGTATGTGGTATGCACCCCTAAAGGAGTGCACACCATAGAAAAACCCTTAAATTTATCATGATCGGTTCATAATTTTCGAACATATATATTTGTCTCATTTTTCTCATTCAATTTTCATATTCAACAAAATCTAGTGTTTGTTTAGTTTGATTTTTTCAAAAATTATTTTTAGATGAGCTTTTATTTATTTTTAATGAATTTTTTAAATATTTTCATCAATTTTTTATACTTTTTAAATACACTTAATCAAGATAAATCTAAAAAATAAAATAAATTAATTAAAATATTTAAAAATCATTAAAAATAAATAAAAATTCAAATAAAAATCTGTGCGCTATATGTTTCCATTATCATTTCTTTGCTATTTCCATTATCATTTCTTGCCGACTGCAATACGGCTAAACTATTTCAATGTGAACTGGAACAGTTTTCAAAAGTTGCCAGATCTATTTCTTGCGTTATTTGCAAGCAATTTGTAAAAAGAAGACCATTTTCTTGATGACTTCCTCGAATTTCCCGGCTTTCGAATAAAGCAATTATTATAAAAATAAAAATAAAAATAAAAATATTTATTACCGTTACCTCTCTTAAGATTTCTCATAAATATAGATTACAGCCTTTTGTTTTTAGATATTACAATTATTCCTTTATCAATGTGCAAAATGTAAAATTGCATATATCTATTTTATTATATAAGGCCTACACATGAATTTTTATACACTGTCACTCTTTTTCTTTTTCTTTTTCTTTTTTTTTAGTAATGCCCCCTCATATTCAAAAACTATGAACTTTTATAAACTGTCACTTTTTTTTTTTTTTTTATAAAAAAAAGAGAAATGTCCCTCATATTCAAAAACTATCACATTCCAAAAACGTTTCATTAAACTCTCACATTTAGGTTGTGTTCAAAAATTTGAAAAAATATTTATGGATAGAAAATAACGAAAAAAATTTAAAAAAAAAAAGAAAATTAGTTTTTCCTTTTCCTTTTCTTTTCTTTTCACAAATCACTACTTAAATATTTCATGGAGAAAGGTATGAAGAGATGAAGTATAAAAAGGAGTTTATCTCTTTCAGCGTATACCATAGTCAGCTGAACTCCAATAAATACAAACGAACGACTTTAGGCCCTGTTTGTTTGCAGGATATGAAGATTGGGATTGGATATTATATCCAATGGGACCCACATATCCCATGTTTGCAAATTTTGTTTGAAGGGGATATATATACCTTCGGATTGTATATCCCCCAAATTTGGAGGATATACAATCCCAGCCCCCCCTGTTATATCATATCCCCTCGTCTGGGATATGAGTTAAAAAGTCCAATATGCCCTCGTCTATCTTGTATACACAGACTAGGGCTCAAAAAATATATGCAGCTCATATACATTCAGCAGAAGAGAAAAAGGCTCTGGTTTACATCGTGTAGATCTGCTAAATTTTGTGACTGATTTCTGTTGGCAAGACTTCATTCCGGTGATTATCATCTTTTCCCTCTACCTTGCTTTCTTTTTTATTGATTTTCTGGTTTTAGGTTTTGTTCGTACCATTTTTAACAAAAATCGATTGGAATAAACCCACTGTTTTTTGAACAAAAATCGTAAAGAAGAAGGCCAGAAACTTGTGAAAGTTTTACTCTAAATTGATTTTTGGAACTTTGATTTCTAAACCCACTGATTTCTAAATTTATTTTTGGAACTTTGATTTCTAAACCCATTGAGATAACATAAAGTTTTTAAACTGATTTGTAAACCCACTGATTTGGAACTTTTGAAACTTTTTGGCTCTTTTTGGAATAAACCCACTGTTTTTTGGAACTTTTTGTTCAATCTAAAGAGGGCTTTGTTTGTTTTGTAATCAAATTCGATTCAATTAGTAAAAACTTGTCTCTGTTTCATTGTTTTATTGGAACCAGATTTATATCTCTATTTTATTTATTTATTTATTTATTTGGGGCTTTGATTCAAGCAATAAAAATTTATTTGTTTTGTATGTAAAGTCTAGGAATTTGATTGAATCAAACTCTTGACATTAAAAAAAATAAAAATAAATAAATAATCTATGAAGAGTTTGATTTTTTTACATAATTAGATTTTTATATATTGGAAAAGATAGTTTAAAGATAATCTGATTTTATATCCAGATTTTATATAATCAATAAATAAAGTTATTTTACATAATCAGATTTAGTTTACATAATTAGTTTATATCCAAATTATAAAAATAAATAGTTTATATCCAGATTATAAAAATAAATAAAGTTAGTTTACATAATCAGATTTTATATCCAGTGAGTTGGGAAAGTTAGTTTACATAATAAGTTAGTTTACCCACTGATTTTTTGATTGAATCAGATTTTATTTTACATAATCTGATTGTTTACAAGGGGCTGTTGTGAATAATAGTTAGCATTGATTTAGTTATCTATTTGATTGCTTTAGTTATTTAATTTACTTAAGCACTATTTCTTTTCATAGATGGCAAGTAATAAAGGATTTGATGGTAGGAGGGACCTCATTGAGGCCTATGTTGCCCTGCAACATATTGTATCATCCATGAATTATACTTGTGGAGTTTATATAGTCGTTTTGCATGCCGCACTGGAAAGATTTGAGGCTACGAGAAAAATAAGTAGAAATCCTAATCCTTTGAAACAACAACTTGACCACCTAAATAGGTTGGTCAGAGATAATGACATAGATTGCTATGAACAACTACGAATGAATAGGCATACCTTTCTGTGGTTATGTGGGCTTATTAGAACAAAGAGTGTGTCAGATTCAAAATATGTTGTGTTAGAGGAAAAGGTTGCTATGTTCTTGATTGTGCTTGGGCACCACCATAAAAATCGAAATGTCAAATTCAATTTTATGAGGTCTGGTCAAATAGTTAGTAAGTATTTCAATGATGTCCTTAAGGCTGTGCTTCGATTGCAAGGTGTCTTACTAAAGACACCTGAGCCAATAACTGCTAGGCGCACAGATGATAGGTGGAGGTGGTTTCAGGTAAATGCTAGTTTTAGTAATTCTTCATGTTTGATAAAAGTTATAATATTCATAATTACAATTTAACACTTGATGGCACCTATGTTAGAGTGCTAGCTCCTGCAGTAAATAAAGCAAGGTATAGATCAAGAAAGGGTGAAATTGCGACTAATGTCTTGGGTGTTTGCTCCCATGACATGCAGTTCATATATGTCTTACCTGGATGGGAAGGTTCCGCTTCAGATTCTAGAGTACTTAGAGATGCCATAAGTAGACCAAATGGGTTGAGAGTGCCAACGGGTACAGCTGCATTTCACAATATCTTTACTATATATAACCTTTGGACTTGTACTTAAATTATGTGATTATGTAATTATATAATCCTACATTATTACAGGTTCTTACTATCTAGTTGATGTGGGCTATACTAATGGGGAGGTCTTTTTAGCACCTTATAGAGGACAACGTTACCACTTGTCCACTTGGAGGGAAGGGGGTGCCCCAACTAATCTAGAGGAGTTCTTCAATATGAAGCACTCCGCGGCTCGTAACATAATAGAGAGATGTTTTGGTCTTCTGAAGCTTAGATGGGCAATATTGAGAACATATTCCTATTTTCCAATCAAGACCCAATGTCGAATTATCACAGCTTGTTGTCTTCTACACAATCTCATCAAACGTGAGATGCCTATGGATCCATTGGAGGTAGACTTAGATGACACATTGCCAAATAATCAAGAAACAGGGGACAAGTACATTGATACAATTGAGGGATCTGACCAATGGAGTAATTGGAGGGACACTCTAGCTAACCAAATGTATAATGAGTGGTTAGCTAATAGGATGTAAAATTAAGTACTATTTTCATTGGATGTAATGTTTTTTAATACTTATGTTGTGTAGTAAGTTGGAGACTTGTAACTTAATAGGATGATGTAGACATGTAACTTATTTTATGTTTCAGTTATTTGTTGAAGACATAACTTAATAGGAGTGTTTGTTTGGTTGTCTTAATAAAATTATTGTTCTGTTAAAAATGGTTGCATGTTAGGTATGGATGACACAACTGTTACTAGTGGATGTCGAAAAAAGGGTAAGGGAAAGGCAACTGCTTCCTCATCAAGAGGTCGTAGAGTGTGGAGTCCAAAAGAGTGTGATGTGTTGATTCGAGCCATGAGGGATCTGTTCAGTGAAAAATGGAAGGCTGACAATGGTCAGTTCAAGTGTGGATTTTACTCTGAATTGGAGAAGCTTATCATATTGGCTTTTCCTGGAATTGATCTTCGTGCATCCCCTCATATCGAGTCAAAGATCAAATTTTGGAGAAGACAATACAATTTGCTTACTGACATGCTTCGCTTGAGTGGCTTTGGGTGGGATGACTCTGAGAAGATGATTTTGGTCGACAGTGACCAAGTTTGGGAAAACTATGTCAAGGTAAAAAACCTACCTTAACCATTGTGCATTATTTAACCATTTTGCATTATTTATTAACTAGAAATATAAATTTTGAAAAAATGTTGTTTTGTAGAGGGATCCAGATGCCAAGGGCATGAGAAATGTACCTTTTATTTACTACGAGGACTGGGTAATTCTCTTTGGCAAGGATAGAGCCACTGAAGTCTTGGCTAAAGGACCTGCTGACATGGTTGATGCCTTAGAAAAAGAGGACCAAACTACCGAGGAGTGTTACACTCCAATTGTTGATCTGCCTGATTGTTCCTTATCAGCATCTGGGACTCCATGTAACCAAGGTGGCTTAGGCACAACTTCTAAGAAAAGAGCTAGGGAAGCTAAAGGTATTGCAAAGGGACTTGTTGATATGGCTATTGAGTTTGGTTCCTTCTTCAAGAAAACCAACACTACCATGGAAGAAATTACTCATAGGATTGGGTATGCCCAAGACTTGTCTCAAGCTAGGAAGCTGGTTAATGGGGAACTAGCCAAGTTGCGACTGAACACGAATGACAGGTTGAGAGCAGCTACCCTTATTGTGAAGGATGCTGAAAGGGTTGATTTGTTCTTTAGCTTGCCTGAAGAGAAAAAATGGAATGGGTATGTTTGTTGTTGGCTGGGTGTGTTTAAGAGGGTGTTTGTTGTTGGTTAGTGAAAGATATCTATCTATATATTATAATATTTAGTTTAGCTATTCCTCTTGAGGCACATGTGTAGTGCCTATTTTGCATAGTTATTAGGAGGATTAGAAATATTTTGACAGACTAACTGGTTTACATCCCCTAGAAATGGCTTTTGTACCTAGTTTCAATCTAATTGTTGGGGTTGTAAGTAAGCTGAAGTATGCTTAATATTAGTATTGCTTTATTTTGTTGGAATGATGCTTAATATATTAAGTTGAAGGTTATCTATTGTAAAAAAATATTATCATTTACTTAGAATGAATGAAGGTTATTTTTAATTATAATGGCTTGGATTATTTTATAAGAATAATGATGTGTGATGAATGAATGAATAAAGATGTTATTTTTTTTCATTCAATGATTATTTTGTAAGATAAAATTTTTTAGAATGAATATTAGTTTTTTTGAGGGGGGTAAAATTATTAAATTTAATATAATATAAATTTTTT